AGGGAAAAGGGCGGCATACAAATAAAGTAAAATCTAAATCTAAATCTAAAATCTTTAAAATATAGATCTACTGTATACTCTTCTGCAGGGATTCACAGTGCAGTTGAGATTTTTTTTTTGAATCAACGATTCAGTTGGTCAGATTTATGCCCACAGACAAAAATCCTTGGCTTCTAACCCAGCCTTTTGATAGATTCCAACCCTAATGTGATTCCAGCTGTCATACAACTACTCTATATTTTGAATTATAAAGAAAAATCAATATTACATTGTGCATTAGCTTTCTTCAACCTGATTACTTCCAGATCAGAGCTCCTCTTGACTTTTGTTGGGAGGAGAATGTTGGCCTCAGATGATAAGTGTAAACAAACATGTACCGGAGTCCTGTTTTTTGCACTGACTTTGCAAGAGTTTCAGGAAGCAGTTTGTATTCACCACAAGAAACTTTAAAAAAATGTTTTGACCTAGTAATTATCTATCTATAATTGAAAAATTCTGTATGCAGGGGTGAAATTCAGCAGGTTCTGATAGGTTCTGGAGAATCGGTAGCGGAAACTTTGAGTAGTTCGGAGAACCGGCAAATGCCACCTCTGGCTGGCTCCTGTGTGGGGAGGGAATGGAGATTTTGCAGTATCCTTCACCTGCCATGCCCACCAAGCCACACCCACAGAACTGCTAGTAAAAAAAATTGAATTTCACCACTGTCTGTATGTACCGTGCAGCAACATTTTTATCAGGTTATATTGCATTTATATTTGATATTTTTGCTTCAAATTGTATAATCAAGTTATTAACTTGACTTTAAATACTTACTTTAAATGCAGAACTTGAAAGTCATCCCCCCAAGACTTATTTGGATTCTTTGAAAAAAATTAAGGATGAGTTGAATGAATTAGAAAGCAAAGTGCACTCCATCATGAATTCAGTAAACGACTTGGCTCAGGTTGAAAAAGCCTTGCAGCAGACTAAGGTATGTTTCTTCTTGGCACTTGATTAAATTCTAAGTTCAGATGCAGCAGAATATGAGAGGATTGGTTTCATGTCTTTATCATATTACGTTTTTAACTTTGGTGACTAATGTTGAGATGTGGGTGGAAAGTTTGATTGTCTTTTCCATTTTTTTAAAAAAAGTTTATGTGTGAAAACTGCTGCTCAGTGACAGAGCACTAACAGAAACATGGAGTGCAGAAACGCAGACAAAAAGAAGATTGCATCTAAAATATTTATTGAGAAAAACTTCTTTTTTCATATAAACAAAGCTTTAGAATATTAGGAAGTATTAGCTAAATAGTTTAAGTAGCCATAATAATTATTTCCTTGCTGAGCTGTCAATTTGCAAATGCAAAGGAATGTGTGTATGTGTGGGGGTGAGTGGTGGTAGCCGGGATTAAGCAGATCACAACATGATTCTAACCTATTTCTGATGTGATCAAAGCAGTGACTTGCGGTGAGGTTTATGGCTGGTGAGGCAAGCGGGCAAAAGCCGCCCTATGTCGGACACAGCGGCAGGGCTTTCGGACGCCCCGGTGCTGTGTCTGCCATAGAGGCGGGACGCCTCTATGTCGGACACAGCGGCAGGGCTTTCGGAAAGCCCCGGTGCTGTGTCCGGCATAGAGGCGGGATGCCTCTATGTCGGACACAGCGGCAGGGCGGCTTTTGCCTCTAGCGCCAGGGCGGCAGGGCGGCTTTTGCTCGCTTTCAAGAAAGCTTTCTTGAAAGCGG